CCATCCCCTTCTTCTTTAGACTCCCTCTCTAATCACGGTCATCACAGCAAATTAATAATATGATATTTAGCATTATATCACATTTCCGAATTTTTGTAGTATTATTTTTGTTATCTACTTTTGTAGTGCGGCATATTGGCGTAGCGTGTTTCTCACTCTCAGCTATCGTGTATTGATGATGGTGATTTGATCCAGAGTGAGAACGTTAAAAAGACCATTGTGAACTGAGACTCTATATTTGATGGAAGAGCTATATGTATCCATGGCAGCGGCCGCGAGGTCAGCGGCAGAAGAAGGGAGAGAAAAACAAGAAGAGGGGCTATTTTCGAAGAAGTCAAGAGAGCAGACGATACTCTTCGACTGCTCATTCTGAAGTAGGGGTTTTGTTCGAAGTGCCCTACTTCTAGCTTTTGACTTAACAATCTAACCCATAAAGCAGTGGTGTACATGGAGGTTCGCTTGGGGGAATACACTTGGAGCCTTTGATTCGATAGTCTGACTCACAAGGCACTGAGGAGCAAATCCAGCTCGGGAGTGATTTCAGAGACCCGTTGGGATCTGCTTGAGGGGCAAACCATTAAGCACCGGAAGGTGCCCTCCCATCGTCAGAGACAATGCGTGAAGCTCGTGCTCCACACCAATCGAGCTGTGAGCTTAAAACCCGTAAACCTACTGGACTTTAATTAGATGACGAAGATAACAATTGTCCAACGTAACCAATCTCTTTCTGTCTCTCGGTAGGCTAGGTTTTGCAACCATATAAGACGAGAGTGCCATCACGCAGGCGCCACAGATGGTAGGGATAGACAAAAGCACCACAAGATTTTGTCACGCAGATCGCTTTTCATCTTCGGTTCCACAGGCCTTAATATAGCAGTTTAGATACTTTTATTTCTGTACGATTTCTAGCTAATCCCCACTAGGAGTCAACGCAAGGAGTCGGTCCCTGCCAATCTTAAATGTGCGACTCATAACCGAAACGACTGACTCCCAGTGCAAATTTGTCCACTTCTGCTTAGCACGTATGTCGGCTATCAGAAATGTGCCCAGTATTGTTGGCGTACTCCAAGTCGAGATGTCGTGCCCAGTGTACACAGTTTCCAAGACTGCCAATGATGGAATGTGACTAAAGAGTTACAACGGTCAACGTTGTCTCACACCGTTAGAGATATAGAAAAGCAGTGACGGTTTGCTCTCATTGTACCAGAACTGCGCGCGTAAAGCGCTCTTATGATATCTGCATACTTCTCGGACACACCTTTCCTAAACAGGCCGTACCACCGAGTAGAAGGCTCCTCTTTTGTCAAGGAACATGATTACGGTGGACCGCTAATAAATCTACCAGTGTTCCAACAATTGAATTGATGTGAAGATGTAATCAATACAACCCGTATTTCGACATGAGTTGGCTTGCCCATCGCGAATCTGGTTTTCGCAAGTACCAGTCAGTCTGTGGAGAACGACAGAAACAAGAAACTTAGAAGCATTTGAAATCAGACTGATCCTTTATATCCGCCGTAGTCCGAAAGTAAGCCTCCCTTGAAAATTGGGATTATAAGGGCAATTCCAGTCTATCGGGACAATCTCCTCCCACATCTTCAATAATAGCTTTGGTAATCATCCACCTGAGCTTGTCCTCTGAATTTAAAGTGCTAGAGGAAGTGTAGCTGATCCTGCGGCTTTATTCAATTTCAACTATCTGATCTCATGTCTAATTTTCGCGCGTGAGCGCCTATCCAAGGGGACGACTCATGGAGAAGGCCTAAGAAAGATGGCAACTTTGGTTGACAATGTTCGGTCCAGCACCCTGAGCGTTTGAAAAGCTGTTGATTGGCTGTCCACTCTCGTCGCATGTAGTCCCGCTAGCAGCAAGTCTCCTGCTACCCGTTTCTCGTATCAGACGAAGCATCTTACAGGGATTACCAAGGGTAGCAGCTTTCTCCATCTCCGATGCACTGTGAAAAACTGGGCTTCCTGGTTCTTTCTTAAAGCTAGCACGCAGTTTCGTCTTGAGGTTATTGCGAGTCTCATTGTATTCGTTCCTGGCAGCAATGTATCGCTGAGCATCCAGGAGCTCCAAAGACTGTGTTACTACCCTATATAGAGGCTGTCAATTTGATCTGCCATACGAAAACATGCATGCTGCTAATAACGTCTGGTGGATATGCTACCAGTGAACCTCAACTTTGTTCAGACAGCATATGCTCAACCCGTAGACTAGCACAGCTTATTATGCACCCAGCATATCTGACTTGGCCAGTTGGCAGGTTTCCATGCGCTCATAGCTTCGCTGCAGGCGTCTACACATACAAGTGCGTGGTCGGCGTCCACACTCGTGTTCCAAATCGAGCAAAAGTTTTGGATATAGCCTCTCAAACTGTAACTGATCGCAATATGATATATTTGCGTCCATGACTGGTCGGATGGTGGTTCAAAACCTGACCGGAAGACAGCAAGGTTCTGGTTTATTTAGTAAATATCCACCCTCATTCCGATCCTCATCCTGGAAGGCAAATATACTGAATTTGTCTGGCCTGTTACCATTGGCCATTTGTACGAGTAGCTCCATCGCAATAAGGGTGGACCTTACTGTGGTGCGATGACTTGCGTGCCTCAGAGATCCATTGGGCTATACTGGGTGGTGCTTTTTCACTGATAACAAATTGGTCAGTGGTTAGAGGCCAGACAAACTCAGCCTCCTGGCCATCAAGGTTGGGGTTAGAATAAGGGTGGCTCCTTATTCTTTAACACGGACCCCTTGTAGCCCACCGCCAAACCCCCTGCCTTGCGGTCAGGTTTTTGAACCAAAGGCTTTGGTTGACAACCCTAATCGTTCTCCTATCTAGGATTAGATAACCTAACAGTATCCTGTCCAAGCAATACAATGAATTTCTTGATGCTCTGGCCGTTGCAGAGGATAATAAACGGCGCCCTATCTGCTGTGTCTCGCAGGGTGGATAGGGGTTTTGATGTTACTGCTTAAGCCTTCCCGTCTTCTTATTCCCCCTGTTAAGCTTTTTCACTCTTATCGTCCCGTTTCAACTCCGCTTTTATCCCAGTTTTCAACCCTCCGATTCTTGGCTCTCCCCCAACATGTTTTGCTAGACTTTTATCTTCTAGTTTCAACTCACATGCAAACGCCGAGCGTCCCTCCTGTTCTGTCGACAACCCCATGTTTAACCAAGCGGTCCACCCCATTTCATCGGCTTCCATTTGGAGCCCTCTACCCTCCGTCAGATTAGCATGCCTCAGTGTACACACATTGCTACAGATCGGTCAACAGGCAACACTTGTCCGGACATTAGAGACCCTCTCCATCGATATTTGCTGCTTATCAGAGATGCCTGCAAGACTCGAGCTCTGTGTTCACTCTGCAATCCGCTTCAGTTGACAACAGCAGTATTTTCTCATTGTGCCTATGCGGTGAAGATGCAGCTTCGAACACCGGCCAAGCTGGTGTTGGCATTGCCCTGCGTCCCCGGGGTGAAGCTGCTTTGGTTGCTTAGATCACAATCGGTAGCCGGATGTGTGCGGTCCGATTGGCTGGCTCGTTTAAAGCTTTGAAGTCGCGCGGGACTAATAGGTGTCTGTTCTTCATCACTGCCTATGCGCCCACAAACTCAAGCGATTATTCGGTAAATGACAACTTCTGCCCCCAACTGACCGAGCTCCTCCACAGAAGAAGCACGGACACTGTTGTGCTGGCGGGGGATATGAACGCACAAGTTGGAAAGTTGTCCACTGATGAAATGCATCTGGGCGGTCAGCACAGTCTAGGCTCCCGTAATGATAACGGTGAACGGTTACTTCATTTGTCTGAAGATGCTCGCTTATTTCTTGCGAGCACTAACTTCCGACACAGCACCCGCCGGAGGGTGACTTGGCGCCCACCAGAGTCTCGAATCGGTTTTGGACGCAAATCGATCACATTGCGATCAGTTACCGCTGGAGAGGCTGCGTCCAGAACTGTCGCTCGATTTGGAGCACATGTGTGGACACCGACCATGCACTTGTATGTGCTAACATGCGGATGCGTTTTCGCGAACTCCCACGACGACGCTGTGAGCGCATTGACACCAGTCAACTGGCGAAGCCAGCTGTTCTGAATGTATATCGAAGTACGCTGACATGCGTGTTGAGTAAGCGCTCACTGGAGACAAACGATGGTCACTGGTCGCATGTTCATCATATCTCACTGACACCAGGTAAATCCTCATGTAAGCAACCAGCGTGTTCGACACTTGATTTACGGCACAGGAAAAGGAAATGAACCACTCAGCACCGTTATTTCACGCACCAGGCTCCGATGGCTCGGCCACGTGTTACGCATGCCAGCCCACCGGCTCCCGCGACGTGCGTTGTTTACGCGCTGGTGATGTGGATGAAAGAAGAGGAGAGGTGGCCAAGCGATGACTTGGTCGAGAGGAATGAAGGCCCTCAGTTGAAACGTCTCGGCTCCCTGGTGGGGGTCCAAAAAACGGTGAACACCTTTGGCTAGCTACACTTGTTGACATGGTTAGAAGCCAGCCTCAGTAGCGTTCTTGTTGTGTTTCTTTGTTCCTCCCCCTCCAACGACCATCTCATTTTGTAACATAATATAACTTTACAAAATAATTTTTTCGTTGCCTTGTAGCCGACTGATAGCTTTCCGGAACGATGCCCATCTATTGCTGGTAGCTCTGTTGGCATGCAACTGTTGTATTTTTTCTTTATGTATTGCTTCACAGTAGCTGAGGTGTTTTGCACCTCTAGCTAACTTGTATAGTGATGATGATGACGATGATGAGTAGCTTTGGAGGTGCAGAAAGCACCACCCAATATGGCCCAGTGGACCGTTGAAGTACGCAAACCATCGCACCACGTTAAAATCCAGTCTGGTCACGATGATCTATTCAGCGTATATTCGGGCGCTTTTGTTGTCCGGTGACCCCATTTTCATTGTTCGTTGATGCATACCTCAATAAGCGGACGTCGTATCTTCTGTTTTTTTCTTTTTGTAGGCTGTCCGAACCCATGCCGAACGATCCTAGCGGTGAGTTACCTTCTGAGCGCTGCTTCATACTGCATCATCTTGTTCTCTAACAATTGGTTATATTTTCCGTTGATGCATTTACCTATTCTTCCAAACCTCTCAGAAGAATCAGCGGGATTATGAATGTCTAGTCGTGCCGCACGGTGCTCCTCACTGCGTTTGGTATCACGCGCATTACCCGCCCAAATTTCTCCTCAGGGCGTCCCGTGTAGTGAGTGTAAGGAATGTCGCGGCTTATTCGTTTTCATCGCAGCAGTAGGAAGCATTGCACCGTAATTGTGGACGCTCTTCCTCAGGCCTATTCACTAAGCGGAAATTTCCATGCTATATCCCACGAATCTAATGAAATCACTGGTTGAACGAACCTCCACGGCGTCATGTTCGAACACCTTTTACATCGGAACCTACTATGTTTGTCAAGCCTGACTTTTTGGTTTCTCGTCGCCCACTCTTCTCGACCTATATTATTTCTCCACACTTCACCTGATATACGAAAGGACATAATGATGTTGATGTACTGAGTTGATCGGGTTGCTTCATGCCATCTTCCTTGACAATGCCCACGGGTTAGACCACACGTGTCGTTGGTAATCAGACTGATACTCTTAAGTCTGTTGTACTCCCCCATTTAATAATCTTTCTATGTCATAATTGCACCTTCACATTCCTCTAGATCATTCGCAAATTTATGACCAGATCTCCGTTGAAATTTTTCACATCACCGCACCCTGACTTATTACCTTTTCCATTCAGCGCATGAATCACATGTGGTGGCTTTTAAAACTCGTATTTGCCGGATCACTATCTTCACCAGTGCTTACAGTTTTCTCACGTGTTTAAGCCTACATTATCCAACGTCCGAAATTCATTTTAACGGACACTACTTCGTTCCAATTTCATTTCCCTTTTCACAGAATTGAGAACCGTCTTATGTGTTATCCCTTAGATTTGATGCTTACTTTTCAACCGGTTGTCATCGTACCATGTAGATGGTCCACTGCTTGCTTGTAGTTTGCTCTGAAAGAAAGTTCTGGCTAGCTGATTTTACATTTATTTGCATTAACTTCCACAGGTCCACAAGTGTATGATGATACTCAGACGTCAAATAAACGGCGACGCAAATCTCGTCTACAGCCAACGCGCTTTGGTAAGATTTGACAACTGTTGGCTCTTGTTTTGTCTTGGTGATTTATTTTTCCATATTAGTTGGATAGGCATTTACTTCCTCAAAGGAATCTCCGGGTTTTTAGTGGGTTTTGCCCTCTGTGTTCTCTTTGCTTCTGCTTTCCCTTGTGTGGGTGATACTTTGCTCATTCGTGTTTGTCGTTGCTTTTGTCCCATCCACCTACCAATGTGGTGTTTGCTGGTATCTCCACAGTTTCTGTTCCCATTGTGCACTGGTTGGCGGCAGCATGTCTGTGCTACGATTGCACCATATTACCACATTAGCGAGTGATAGTCTTCCTGTTTGCCCAAATCACCCGACTCTGGTGCTTCTACCCCTGTCTATCCACACCCTTTCGACGGTTGTTTACTTTGAAGCAGCACATGTGCCGTTGTTTACCATGCTAGTCATTTTCTGTCATTAGGTTTCGGTGTGTATTCTAACCTACTTGGTTACACTTTTCCCATGCTAGTTTATTCACAGAGACTACCCTGTTCGTCGGCCGTTGTGTTTTTTATGACAACATACTTTTCTATCCATCGCCTCCATTCGCTGACCTCGCGCATTGCGAATAATTTTAGCCTGCTTTTCGTAAACTACTTGGCTCATCTGTCCTCTACTTGTTTCGGAATGACGTAGTACTGCTTCGGATGTTAAAATGCCGAATGCACTCTGAGTATTTTATCGTCAGCTTTACCTTGATCCCTTTCCTAATGCGCAACTTGATATCTCATATTTTCAGGATTTTGTAACGAATGCAAAGAAAACGCGGCATCTGGTTGTGAATCTTGTCACACGCAGCAGTTGTTCTTCACTACTACATTTGATGAATCCCAATTTGTAGAGCATCCTGTGTTCGACATAGCAAATACCTTGGATTCTGATCAGGAGCATGGACCAGCCGGTGGGCCTGCTGCACGCAAGCATTCAGTTCACTCTGCAGCTAGTCACTTTTCGGGTTTGGTGAATGGCTCTGACAAGGATACGCACGGCTATCGTAGTGAACCGATTTCACAGGAGGTCTATGTTACTCCTGCCCCATATATCGATCATGAGTACTCTCACTGTCAAGCGCAACTGCGAGGACCCGAAGACAACCGTATGGTGGATCGTTACAATGAAGAGTATTGCTCGAAATTGCTAAAGCGTTCCCGAGGTCAACATAGGAGAAGTACCTATTACCGGTCTCGCAGTAGCAATCCCCAGCGATCTTACAAGTGTGCTAAGGACGATGCACTAGATTTTGAAGAACTGGACGAAGTTAGCAATAACGACGATCCATACGCTTCCCGTGATCACACGGATGGTAGCGACGAAAGTAATTACTCATCATCTAGAAAACGATATGTCGACAAATTCATCCGTATTAATGGTCACAATCCTGGTGTCATCAACAGGAAACATGGTAGATATAAACGTCGAGGGGATCCATCTTACGATTTTGATTATGCGAGCTATTACGACCGTTTTCCTACTCGAGTTTTGTTCACACATCGGCACTCACAATTAAAGGCTTGCAAGCGACGGGGAACAGTATATTCAAGAACCGATCCTTTGTTCTCTTCGAAAACTCGAACTCGCCGATCTAAACGTATCGTCAAGGCTCCCCGTCGCCCTTATGATGAATTCGAGGCGTCATTTTCAATCGATGAAGCTGACCAAAACGCATTCGATTTGCGTTTTGAAAGTCGGAACACACGTACTCATACCCTGTCTCATGCCGTGCAGACTACCGATGGCAGCGCGGCTTTGCGTGCTGAGCCACTCAAGCCAACAGGAATTCATCAGAAACCTCGTCGCGGTAGATACACCGGTCGCAAGCGATTAGCAGCTGGTTCACTTCATAGGCGCGTTCAGCCCAGTTTTAATCCCGATGTTTGTTCAGGAAGTAGCATCGGTAACGACAGAGGGGTACGTTGCTTCAAAGCTGCTTATAAACTTCAGGGAGTCAATCTTCCATTATATGATGACGAGTCGAGCACTTCTTCATTGTCATCTGAAACATCTCAACGACCCCAAGCTGAAACGAATCTCTCTGGTAAAATGAATGGTTCTTTACGCACCTTCGGAAACTCAGTCAAGACGGATCCTGTGTCTGGTTGCCATCGGTATAACATTGGCAGTGTATGGGGTCAATCCAGGATGTCCTTGGCTCGAAAGATGACCTTGTCGCACCCCTCTGATTGTTCACCTGAGGCAGCTTATTGCCTCGATGGCAGTGTCCAAGAGCCTGTGTTGGCCATGGAGTCGTTTGATCAAGATCTCGACGAATGTGAGGAAGATGTTGTCGAGGAAGTCGAGGTTGGAAAAACTGAGTAAGATTGGTATATTTTGCAAAAATAATTAGAGAATCTCAAGCTTGCATTTTGGTGATATATTCTTCTAAATTATGCTTGGCTTTCGTCATATGGTCTATCTTTACTTCGTAACGACTTTTGACGTCTGCGAGTGATCTTTTATCTCGATGTCAACCCATTGCAACCCGTTTGAAGCAACAGCATCACATCTGGATTTCTTATCTACTCCATCCTTCATTCCGCTCGTTTTCAAAGATAAGACTTCTGGTGTCCCCAATCTTTTGGTCATCATCGCCTATTCGGCTTCGCTCCCCTCGGACAGCATCAGCTGGTGGGGATAGGGGACAATCAGGTTGAGCTATTAGACCAACATAGCGTAGTTTCGTTAGCTCTGTTTCGTACATATTATACCCACTTGCCATTTTTCCAAGACGGTGTTTGCATACAGACATGGAAGCGACACTTGTGAGTTCATTGCCAATTAGACGGTGCAATTTCAACTCCACGTCATCCCCATGTTTTTGACTGGATATGCCACGCAATCGGCACCAGTGGCACGTTTGCAGCCCTCGCCTAACAAGGTCACCCATTTCAATTGTACTTGGTACTGAGTTATGTGTGATATGCTGTGCGAAGTGTGTTTCACGCCTGCAGCTTACGTGTACTGATTATGATAATGATATTACTTTAAGCTACTGCACGCCACTCAACTGCGCACTGATGATGCACCTCGATTGGGGACGAAACGTTTGCAAAAAGAAAATTGCCAAGCTCAGCGAACAGTTCAACCGTTAATTGAACAACCTGAGCTACCAGTCTTCAATTCTATAGCCAACAGTCCGTTGTTTTTAACTAAGCGTTCTTCCCATAGACCTTGTATGTTTGTTTGACATACTCATCCCGTTTTCCTACTCACGAACAGTTGGGTCATGTCCCATAATTTATGCATATGTGGCGGTTGTGCGATACGCTGACTTGCTGATGCTCTCTATGGTGATAATGACTACCACGACGGCCTCCCTTTGAATATTTCTCGACAGGGCACTAGTGTTGCGGGTTGGTATTTGTGGAATCCTTTTATTTACTGTATCAAACCCATATGCATCTGCCTGGAGGCTGTTTAGGCAGGTAAAATGAAAGTGGTACCGTCATTTGGCCGCGGTTCTGCGCAAATTATCCGCCAACCTCGAATCGGTTCATTTCCTCACGCTGCATTTTGGCGTTTCAGTGCTACAAAGCTTTGACGGAACATTACCCACAACGTGACTAGCAAGTACAGGCAACGCGCGCCGAGGCTACCGGTTCTTTCTGTGCTGCTTCACATCAAATTAACACCCATACTTAATCTTTGCCAACGCAGGATTAAGATGATGAACATCAGATGTCTGGAAAATTTGCGATATTGCCGCTTCTACATATCAGAGCATCACTTGAGGTAAACTAAGTTACGGGCCATTTTGTCATGGGAAATTAAAGTATGGTATCCGGAACATGTAGTACGATTATCACACCGGTTACACATTGACGAGCACCAAACCTTCCCCCATCGCATTTACGTTTGATGACTTCGCAACGTGAACCACTTGGGACGTTTCCATCCTTAATATTCCACTTGAGCTGACACTAATCACTAACTTATGAATGGAAGGATTTTGGTGAGTATTTTTGTTCGTCGCAATCAGCCGACAATTCAGATATGTCGACCAGCTGTCCGGAAAAGCACCAGACGGCCGTTTCGCCCTATTGGGGCTCATCAGTGGTGCGCATCCTAACGGCCATTACCTTCTGACACTTGTTACGACTACCTGCTACAGGAATTATGTACTGGTTCACTTTAGCTGACAAAGGTTTTGTGGCAAAAGTGATACGTCAGCCACCAGATATACTCACTGATTGTTTTCAAACTATTCTAATTTCATGATTTCTCGGTCAGTTCCAAGCGTATTTCACGATGTCGCACACCGTCATGGTCCCTTGAACCACGATACATGTCACTTTCCAAGTATCTTCGGAACTAATCGAATTAGATCAGATTGGGATGAAATCGGTAGTGGGAAGCCATTGTCATTGGGCCATAATGTCAGCTGAACTGATGACATGATCTGCACCCAATACACCATTGAACCAGAAACGAACTTGCTATTCAACACCATGCAATCCAACGGTTATTCGCTAAAATTTCCTGAACGCCGCTAAAACCAACAAGCAGGACCGTACGCTAACAGTTCCAAAGAAGCCCATTCTCATTGAGCTAACTTTCAAATTGACGGTGTCATGAAAGTCACCGAGAAACGCATAAGCGCCTCATTAAAAAGAGCGTATAACACGGCGGAATTGCGGTTGCTCGTTTCCACTAGATTTATGCTAATGTGTTCGATTAAGACACCGTTGGCAATGCAGTGCATGTCCCACTGCCTATACAAATTTACCTGTAACTGTGGGACAGCTACGTCGGGCGCACTGATCGAAGTCTAGGTGTCATAATCAATGAACACATACCAAAGTGGTTACGCAGCCGCATGGGATGTGTGATGACAGAATCATTTGACTCGGGAAACCGAGCTACATCAGCAGTCACCAAGCACTTGCTGACCACTGGCCACCGAGTCAATAATGCTGAGTCTTTCACAGTCCTAATGCGCGATCAGCGGTCCCAAATCCTTAGGCTATTTGGATGTTATCGTTATCGATCGCGAACGACCACCTCTGTACCTTCAAAAACAGCTGCCAGTTGCTCTAGACCTACCGTGGTAGCCCATGCGTTTTGCTCTCTGTGATCACCGTTTATGTTCCAATGTTGCATGTTTTTGTGATTGATAAGCATGCACAAGATGGCGATGCCATCTCACAATCTACACCTTCTGATTTTTCTGTTTATAATCACAAAGGGAAATGCTTGTTTCAGACACAGGTTGTGTCTTACCTTGAGAGATCACTATTAGCGCCCGGTGTTTTACTACCATCCACTCAGTCTGTAGCTTTTTTGTCACTGAGGTGAAGACCTCCTCCAAACTCGCCAGTGTTTGGCCGAAGTTGCTGTTGTATCAGTATATACGGACAATATAACAGTTGCTCAGAACTGCCCCAAGCAGGGCATTCGAGGCACACTAATGTACCCTCGAGTCGTATCGATTTGCACGGTATCATGCTCAAGATAGAGTCCATTATTCGCACACCTAGTTATGTTGGTGCTCGTGAGTCCGGCTGTTGAGTCGCAGGCTAAAGGTGTGTGTGCGTGTTCACACAATACCCATCATCAGCGATCTCTTTTTCGCTCTCTATTGCTCCACCCAGTAAATCTCATCTTGGCTATAGAATTGAAGAGTGGTAGCTCAGGTTGTTCAGATGGCGGTTGAACCGTTCACTGAGCTTGGCAATTTTGTTGCAACAAAATTGCCGAGCTCAGCTAACGGTTCAACTGCCAAATCTCGTCTTCCCTGGCCAATCAGCTTTCGAATACCCTGGGTTAGTTAATGTTGTTAGCTATGTACCTAAATCTCCCCAAAATATCACATCTTTATTTCACACAGGGTCTTTACACTTTCTCACTTTGACGAACTTGATTACCTACGAAACTTCCTCCCATACTCTCATCTAATGGTGCTGAAGTGCTACATTGCGTGTGAAATAGTTGTAGGCGACAACGTTGCTTTAGCAGGTTTTCATTAAACACCGGTCAGCTTCCAGTGAATGTGGATACACTTTTCGTGTTTCTATCGATACAGGTTATAAGACTCGAAGGATTTATGTTGTCGATGTTTTGTTCAGCAGAAAGGCTGAATGCAGTTCTCAAGCGTAGGCTCCGTGCATTTTTATTGCCTCAGTGGTGACCCGAATCCTACATTTTTTGTACTAACTTGGAAGTTTTAACAAATGGAACATTCTTAGTGATCCATCAAGAACATCAGTCTGAGGCAAACAGTTGTTTTCAATGATTCATCTACAGGCCGGCACAATCATATAAGGTTAAATTACAAAGGGATGGATAGTGATCGGTTCCGGGGTCTGTTCTGAACTGACTCGGTCAATGGTTAAACAGCGAATAGTTCGCCGCTGTCTCATGCACACAGATCGATTGAGGGTTACGTAATCGCAATGCCTGACCCGGTGTCGGGGTGACGGCTAGGCTGATGGTTGTTCGGCCAGGGCAGGTATAGGGATTGGACGAACTTTTTTCTGCGAGCACAAGGGGGGTTGGGATATGCGGATCGCAGTGACTTCTGCAGTGGCGAGCATCCTTAACCGCGTACCTTTCGATTTGCTCATTGGAACCTGATAAATCACAATAAAAGCATTCGGGAGGTTAACCTGGTGACTAGATTCGAACAGATGAGACAAGATACCGCTTGTAAGTACTCCGGTGTCCCCGTTCAACAACCATTTAGGGCTATGTTCCTTAATGCGACGTGACAGTTGACTAGCCGTCCGCCCCACTGGTGCACTCAAATCGGTAGATAACGTAAGAAGAGGTCAGCTTCGGCAGTCTGTCCTTGTTGCACACAGGAATTAGCTGATTCGTGGCGAAGATGCATCGTAACTCCGCAGCCGGAAAGGTGTTCCTTATCCATTGCGTCACTTTCCTTGTTAAAAGCTCACTAGCTGTATCACCTTTTAAATCAAGGCGGATGAAGAGGGGCTTTTGCGCGACTACGTCCTTAACGACCGGTGTTATTTTGGGCTGCATGTTGCGCTGAATGAATTTTTATGGATAATCATTTTCACGCAGTGTTCTGGATGGATTTCCTCTCATCCTCCAGAGCGTCCTCTGAACATATCTTTCTCGACCTTGAAGTGAGACAATGTACTAAGTCACGTTGTATATAAGCGGTACAAAACTACTGAAATTTGTATACTGACCGGCACACATTTTCTTTCTGTTGATCTTCCTTAATATGGAACCGTCAGTTCGTCTACTAAGGTGTACATCCAGAACTGAGAGTTGACCATCTTGTTCAAGTTCGTAGGTGAACTTAATCGCCGGATGCGCACCGTTAAACTCTGCCAATATATCCTCCAGA